CACTGTCAGGGCGGCTAGGATCTGGAACCAACTTCCAAAAGAAGTGGTGCTGGCTCCTACCCTGGGGGTCTTTAAAAAAAGGCTGGACGAACATCTGACCAGGGTCGTTTGACCCCAGTACTCTTTCCTGCCATGGCAGGAGGTCGGACTAGATGATCTCCTCAGGTCCCTTCTGACCCTACCAACTATGAAACTATGAAACTATGTTGTCAGCTGATTTTATCATTTTAGATTTTTTTTTATTGTGATAATTTAAAACACCTCCGACATGTTTTATTTTTAGCTCCTGAATTTCTTCCATGAGGGGTTTTTTAATCATTTTAAATTTTCAATGTGGATCTGGCTTACTCCCAAAAATGTGATTTTCCCTGCTTTGCAACTATTACACCACCAGGTGAAGCTTGGGTTAACTCAGTAATCCATGGAAATCCATTGAATCTCTATTGTAATACTTCAACAAGACTCCAGGGGCTAATCTTGCAAATTTTTACTGGTGATTTAGTTCAAGGTTCAGATTAATGAAAAAAACAACTTTTTTGGATTCCAAAAAAAATGTTCCCTGTGTTTGCATGTACTTCATGGCAAAGATCAAATTGTTGTGTCAGGCAGTTCAAGACTCAGGCCAATTAAAACTACTTTTTGTTGGACTGGGTTTTTGGTTTGGCAGGGCTTGTGGGGCAGGTCAGAAGTGAGTGGGGCTGGCAGGGCTGGAAGGGTAGGGGTAACCTGGGTGCTAAACATAACTTGGGTGGTACTCCGATGAAGTACCCCCTCTCCACTTGAAGGGATTTAGCAGATGCTAGTGCGCTATGGGAGGGGTAGCCACTGATGGGGGAGCAGCTCTCCTCCTATGCCCTATAGAGCCGAGACCAATTGGAACTTAACCATATACCATTAAGGGAAAGAACAGGGTGGAATATAAACACATATGCGGGGGGCAAGGGGACCCGGGGAGATAATGATACCCCCCACTCCAGGCACCTGGGGCGGGGGGAGAAACCAGGGGAGCAGAGGGGAGTCACAGGGGTTTTAGGTGAATATGCACATATAACAGAGACAAATCAACAACAGACTTGAGGTGCAGGGTTCACAAAATATAAGATGCAGGGTTTCCCAAAATATGAAGCGCAGATCCCACAAAATTTAAG